CCCGGAAGAAGGCGGCCCAGCACACCTGCCGCAGGTGTGTGCATGATGCCGCCTGTCGGGTCCCCGCGGGGTCTGGCAGTGCCAGCTGAGTCCCGAGATGAGGTGGCTGCTGGCGGTCGCAGGTCCCTGGGGTTGCTTGGCAGACAAGCGGGGCCCTTGTCTCTTGCTGCTTCTCAAATGGACCATTCACCTGCACCTCCCGGTTTGCAGGGCTCAGGAGAACCGTGGGTTTTGGTCATCCACTCCGTTGTCTTTAAAGCACGCATTTCCTCAGGAGTGAAAAAGAATGGTTCGGAACAGTGCATGTTGGTATGACAGCAAATTTGATCTCAGATGGAAAGCTGTGCCCTCAAACCCCCTAGACCTGAGATGTTTGGAAAACCTCTTGTAACAAGCTTAGCTGCCACTTGTGGCGTGTTTCCTCAGTGTGTTTGTTTTTTTTGGAGTCCAGATGGTTAAAATTGTCCGGATAATCTGCCAGATCAGCTGTGCAGATTGTGCTGGTGGAGGAAATTCCAGAGATTGGAATAAGAGGGAAAATACCCTGTAGATTCCCTTCCTCAGCCTTTCTGGAAGGCTGCTTTTGAGGACTCCTTTTTCTCTACTGCAGTTGGCGGCGGTGTCCCAGGTGTTAGAGGAAGCACAAGTCTCTCCATTGGTTTAGCAACACTAGGATCTAAGAACTTTGTTCTTAAGCTGAAGGCGGGCATTGTGACACCTTTGTTGAACTTTGTGAAAAGTACGCAGGAATCTTAGACCCAGACGGTGTCCTTGGATTTGCTTCAACTACAGGGACCGTTTGCTCATCCACGTTGCACTCATTTTTGTTCTAGGTGTGCCGGCGGCTGGGAATTATAGAAGTTGATTATTTTGGACTGCAATTTACGGGTAGCAAAGGTGAAAGTTTATGGCTAAATCTGAGAAATCGGATCTCCCAGCAGATGGATGGGCTAGCCCCTTACCGGCTTAAACTGAGAGTCAAGTTCTTCGTGGAGCCTCATCTCATCTTACAGGAGCAGACTAGGTAAAATGATGCTGAAATAAACCAATGTCAAATAGACTTTTGATTCCATTTAGAAGGGCCGTTGCCCCTCCCCAGAGATGTTCACAGGCAAATGTGTTTGATACAGAGCGAGTTGGTTCATAGCTGAGAAGTTTTCCACGGCACAGCCCTTTTGTTGAGGTGAACAGGGAGCCTCCTAGTTGGCCTGGGGTCCATTTTCTGGCTCTTGTGGTTTTTCTTGTCTTTATAAACAATGAGGGAGCAGGGTTGAATTCTTACAAACACTCGGGATCCCTGCCACGATGCAGGGGGAAAAAAAAAAAAAAAGGTTAAAACCCCAACTGACTTCCTGATAGCTGCATATAATGCCCGATAGTAACCTCTGCCTCAGCAGTGTTAGTACAGGTCATTGTAGACTCTTCTAACAGAAAGCAGGAAACAGTTCCTCTTGGGTTAGTTACTTAAAGTTAGTCAACTTCAGCCTAGTGTCAGATTACAGCATGTAGCAAAGAGCTCTGTCCGACTCCCTGCAGAATTTTAGAAGTTTTTAAGTTTCTTGAACACTTAGAGAACTTTGTAAGGCCAGTGTAACTGAACTCCAGCCTGCAGATACGTAACACATGATTGTTTAGATTGTTGAATTTATCTCTCTACTTCTAGAAAACCACCAGCAGTGGTAGACAGCTGGAGCATGTGGTTTCCTTTTTCAAAGAGAGAATGTTTTCTCCACTGGACTGAATGTAATACTTCTTAAGGATGAGCCAAATTAGGAAACTGGCGTTCAGTATTTATTGCTGAAATGTAAGAGACCTCAATCGTATAGCGACATGTTAAAAAAAAAAAGAAAGAAAGAAAAAGAAAACGACTTATAAAAACAACAAACTTTGGATCTAAGTTCTGATATTTTTCATAATCCTTTGGTTTGGAAATTTGCCATGCACTTGAAAAATGTGAGTGTGACAATCTCGAGTAATGGTAAGTGGGCAAAATCCTTTAAGAGTTGTTAGCATGTCATTTTTTTGTCCTCTGCTGAAGGACTGATAGAAACATATTTTGAAATACTGTTCATTTGAATTTGAAATGTCTCTTTTACCTTGTTATGGAGCTTTAAAGAGTGAGGGAAATGTTCAATTTTGTTTCTGGGCAAGCTAGTATATTACATTCTTAGTGTTCCTGAAAATGTCTTGCAAAATATTTGCGTGATTGCACGTTTAAGGATGTTTTAGCTGTTTATATTAATCAGGATAGGGTTGTATTTCTTTCTTTTTTTTTTTTTTTTAAAGATTTTTTTTTTTTATTTATTTGAGAGAGAGAATGAGAGAGAGAGAGCACATGAGAGGGGGGAGGGTCAGAGGGAGAAGCAGACTCCTGCGGGACTCGATCCCGGGACTCCAGGATCATGACCTGAGCCGAAGGCAGTCGCTTAACCAACTGAGCCACCCAGGCGCCCAGGATAGGGTTGTATTTCTTTGTTTTAACTTAAAGCTGATTTGTGAAAGTTTCCACTCTGCACTTCAATGTGATAACTTGGAGTAGAGTAAGAGCAAAGGATACACACACACACACACAAACAAACACACACACATATATATATTACAACATATTGGAATTTTCATTGTGTAGTTTTATGATTTTGCAATCCTTTCTGGGTCTCCGGATGCAAATCTGTTTTGATGGTACAACTTTATTTTTTAAATTTGCAGAAGCTTCAAGGACCAAATACATCTCATTTAAACAATGGCTGCAGTCATAATAGCGTAATCCAATTGTGTTATGAATGATTACAGACTTTGAAGTTTGCTACTAGATGGTCTTTACCTGTGCTTTTCTGCAACTGAGTTAATAACCATTATTAAGTCCATTTTATTCATGCAAGAAATAGAGATATTCTGTGAATTAGATATTTCCTACTTTGTTGAGTCAATTGACTAACTCTTGAGATTCATGCCTACTAGCACTCAGAGAATACACATACCTAGTTACCTAGGTAATTTTAATTGATTTTAGTTCCTTTTGAAATCTTATCAAAAAATTAGCATGATCTAAACATTTGACTTGCTTTTAAAATATTGGTGAATTTTACTTGTTTTTTATGGGGTTGTCCAAAATACAGAATTTGAAGAAAATGCCGCTTTTAAAGCATAGAGCATTCTGCTCTAATAACTAAAGTGATTTGTAATTAACATTTGTACCTTTTCATTAGGATCAAAAGTTGTGCTGGGTCCAGTATAGTTAAAATTAGCATTGTTTTTATGTGCATGATACTACAGGGCAAAAATACTGATTTTTCTCTAACGCCATGTTAGCCAGATAAAGCTGGTTGGTAAACTCTTTGATGTTTAATAATTCGTTATAAAATATTTATATAAACTGCCATGAAAATAAAATAGATCTGTTTACATAGTCCATAAACACAGCTCTGCCAGTCCAGTTATGAGCCATGATTTTTTACCATCTCAAAGTCAAGTCAGGAGGGTACGTTTAGTATACTCACAGTGTCTGGATAGTTTATTAAATGGTTCTGAAATATCCTGGCCAAATTGGCCTCTGTGGAGAATTAAAGTAGCCTACTCACAGTGGAGCTGGTCTAAGTGGGGGCAGTGAATATATTAGTTTGCATCATATTAGGGAGGCGGCTGCTGAATGGCAGACAGGAAGGCCTGTTGGTAACAGGAGAGTAGTTGGGGAGGGGTGGGGGTGGGGCAGAGGCCTTGCATTCTGGGGGCAGCTCTGTACCCAACTATCAGAGTGGACAGACTTCCAAGATGGCCAACCCTGAGCTTCATCTCAGTTGAAAGCCCAGGAAGAGTTTGTCTCTAAAAATCCTTTCTAGCAGTAAATCTTTTTTTCTTTGCTTCTGCTTCCTCTCTCTTATTTTCCTTAATGTTTTCCTAAATATATTTTTCTGAAGACAAAAAAAAAAAAGAAAGAAAGAAAAGAAAAAGAAAAAAAAAAAAGACCATACCAAGTGTCTGCTTAGATTGATACAGTTAATCTGGTCTCTGATTTGGTTCTTTACCCAGATTAGTATGTTTGCCTTTGAATGGGGGGTCTGGAAAGTAACCAGAGAGTCTTGTTCAGACTCCGCTGACACATTTCAGAGACAGAGACCAACAGGTATATCAGCAGATGTTTGCATGCTGTGCATTAAAACTAAAAGTGAAACTAATGAATTCTGGAAGTAGATCTGAAATAATAGTGATCTTTGAAATTCTTGCCTTTCAGAGGCTCTCAGTTATTCACAGCAATTCAGACCAGATTGTGTCACATTTTCAAAGCCAGAGATTTGAGAATTATATGCTTCATCTACAGAGATGGTGATTATACCATCCACTGCCCATAAAATGTATCTGTTTCTCCTGACTTTGCTACATTTTAGCAGAGTTCTGTGATCTTTGCTAGGGGCTCTCCTGCTTCCTTAAGACTCACCAACACCTGAATTCTCTTTCCCAGAAATCAGCCTTAGTACAAGGGTTCCATGAGTCCTGCACTAAATGTTCAGGGAAATGCTGTAATCCTGAGCGTTGAATCCCATCAAGATTTTAGTGATGTGAGCAAGTGGTGTTGAGTTTGACTCATCCCTCGTTAAATCCTGCTGTCCTCCAGACTCCACTCAGTTGTTGCTCCTTGGGAAAGCCTTTGCTGGGCCTGCTCAGGAGACTGAACTGTCCCAAGACATCACGTAGCTTTCCTTTATAGCATCTAATGAGTGTATAACACTACCATTTACTTCTGTGACAATTTGTTTATTGTCAGCTACTCTAATAATTTAAATTCCATGAAGCAGGGGGTTGATCAACGTCGTATCCCCAGAGTCTGCCAAAGTGCCTGGTGCATAAACATTTGTTGAATCAATGAATTGAGAAATCAGAAGTAAATAAAAATGGGGTTAACTGATACTGATAATACAAATTTTCTTACAGATAATGAAATGTTTACCAGTTTGCTTCTATAAACTGAAAAGTTTGAGACTATCTAAAAGAAATCTCACCATTAAAAAATGTTTTGTAGTGATTATTCTCTGTTAAGAATTTGCTCAGAGCTTGGCATTCTTTTGCTTCCTTCTTTCCCTCTCTCCATCGCACCCCAAGCCTTTTGTTTATTTTGGCTGTTAGTTCTCATCTAAAATGAACTACCACTCGCCTGGACCTTTTATGAAGTTCAGATAGTTTCAAGCTACAGGCTCTCTTAGTCTAATTTTCAGCCAATTTGTAGGTTCTAAGTACTTATTGAACCCAGGTTTTCTCTTCTCCCAACAAAAATCACTTAGATGTCAAAATCCAGGGAAGATGGCATCATTGAAATCCACAAAGCAAATGCCACATGCAACCATGGGCAGAGTTGAGGTGATAATCTTGAATGTATACAAACCAAATCATATGGATCCTAGCCAGGGCCTATAATCATTTTCAGTATCTTTCAACATATTGTCAGTGTTGGTAAAGGTTTCTTAGCATAATTTACCTTTGTGGAATTCAGAATGGGTATGTTCTGTAGGACACTGTTGCAGCAATATTTATCTGATATAAAGGTGTCGCTGTGTTTTTCTTATCAACTCTATGCCAAAGAGTGGAATGACACATTCCTTGTTTTTTTGTTTTTTTGGTATGACCAAAGACAAAATAGGCCCCAGGAAAGAAAAGCAGGCTTCTATATTGTTTTCAGAAAGTATTAATTAGCTTTCTGAATTCTGATTTATCTATTAAATTTTTCTTTTTGCTCAAAGTATAGGATGTTTGCATGATCATATGTTTATTTTAGCCACAGATCTCCCATCTGGGCACATTCAGTATCTTTATGCATTTCTCATACATATATATTTGTATGAAGTTTCCAAAGAACATTAAGAAATCGATTTTTTTATGTAACCAAAATGAACTTTTAATTTTAAATCTGTCATTTGAACTAAAACTGGACAATGTAGATGGCACATAGGATCAGACTCAGGGTGCCCAGTGATGCACTACTCCATGCAAATGAGGTACATTTACTCTCGGAGTCATGCCCCACTGTAGTCTGCT